GGTTTACATATGAAAACGCCAAAATGATACTTTAATCTCTATAATAATTAGTTATTAAATAATACTATAGTATAAGTATTTAATTAATCTTAACTCAGTCCCACAGTCCAAATAAACTCAGATAGTCAATAGTCTCCCTAGTTTCCACAGGTTTACATATGAAAACGCCAAAATGATACTTTAATCTCTATAATAATTAGTTATTAAATAATACTATAGTATAAGTATTAAACTCAGATAGTCAATAGTCTCCCTAGTTCCCACAGGTTTACATATGAAAACGCCGAAATGAAACTTTAATCCTATAATAATTAGTTATTAAATAATACTATAGTATAAGTATTTAATTAATTTTGTTATGTATATCCTAGTACACTCAAGAGATACCAATACCATTTCTAAACTATATATTAAAAATAAATTTAGCTTGGATAAAAATTTTTAATAAATTTATTTAATTAACAATAATAAAAGCTTTAATAATATGGGAATATTGTACAATATCATATAATCTTTAATTATATGATTTATAGGGAGTAAATCATATTAACTATGTACTATAAGCCACAATTATACATATTAGTCATCATTAAATCAATTAATATTACTAGTTTAGGTTAAATAACTTATAAATTAATTGTGACTCATAGATAATCTTGATTTTTTTAACTATTTTATTATTAGTCACTATGTATCTATGTATTCAAAGGGTTTTAAAAAATATATAAATACCCTTGATTTCCTCAAGGAAAAAATCAAAAACCAAATTTATTTTTCAAATCTTACAAATCTTACAAAACTTTTACAATCACCTATATTTCAATTCAAATTTATAACTTACAATTACAAAATGTCTTATCATTTGTGTCCAAATACTATCAATACTATCTTAAATGAATTTCCTATCAACAAATGTTACAATAATCCTTTACCTATCATTGAAACATCTCAACCTTATTTACCATTACTTACCGGATTTTTTTACATTCTTTTTATAATTCTCCTCATATATACCAACATTCTCACTAATACAATTGTCCTAATTCTTCACTTATTGAAATTCATGTGCACTATAAT